ATCACTGAGGAGGTGCTGCAGTAGAGTCTTCCTCTGGCACGGCAAGGCGTTAGAAATAGTCGTACCCGACAAGAGAATAGACGGATGGAAAATGAGAAAGTTGCCGGTGCCCCCACAGGTCACCATAGGTGACTCTGCATCCTCCTCACGGGCAAGCACTAGATTCACAGGATCACCAGCATGAACCAGAGTATTGCAATGACTGGTCCAAAACCAATACCACGCCCCCTTGAGTGATACCACTCTACCATCCTCTAGACTCAGACGCACCTGACCGGGTGTACTATAAAGGTCGTTACTCTTGAGAATGGACAAACGCAGATCACGATGTACAGTGGAGTTCCACCCGTGATACGAAAAACACTAGTGAAAATATATTTCATACCACAAATATCGCGTTTTACACAGAACATTACGCCACTTCACGTAACGGGTGAAACTCTAGTGTTGTCACTTCGAATAAGCCGATTTTGGCCAAGGGGAGGAGTTTAATCAGCGAGAAGCATGGAAGTCTTTATAACTCACCTCGTGACCGGGGGAGTTGATTTCGGGTTTCGCGTCGCTCAAGCGACTCTCGATATACTTGGACCATTTTCCCGATGGTGGTTGATCTGCAATACCTGAAAGTTCGATTACACAACTGAGATTTAACACGTATTAAAACATCTCCGCTGTAGTATAGTGGTGAGTATTCCTGCCTGTCACGCAGGAGACCCGGGTTCAATTCCCGGCGGCGGAACCTTTTCCATCCAGCTCAACTGGTATACACTATTTCCTCACCTTCAGAACATCTCACAAACCATCAAAGTAACCACACAACCACCCACACTCAAAGTAACCACACAACCACCCACAGAATTAAAACACCCCATAATTGTTTATTCTCACCAGCCGCTCGGTCCACTGCCGCCTCGATCTCCTCCATCGCAGCCAGAAGATCCTCCGATGCCAATGACCCCAAACCATCATCATCGACCTCCTCAGCAGCACTCCCTCCCACTGACTCCTCTATCGCTGCTACTGCACTCTCCACCTGATATCCACAATTGCTAGTCGGAACCCAATCCCCCTCCACTGCCGAAGGAAAAACTCACTTGAGTGCATATTGCGTCTAAATCGCCCAACTCTATATCGCTCCAATCGTCATCAACTTGAGTGCCCGGTATCAACTTCTTCTCCCCCGACACTCTCGCTGGCTTCCGCGAAGGCGCCATAGGCGGGGACCCCAGAGGAGGGTCGTCCGTCGCAGCAAACCGAGGAGGACTTCGGCTCACATTATTAACAGCATTAAATTGATTCTCTCGTGCAGTTAAAGACTGTACTTGCGTACAAGATGAGGAGTTCATACCACTCCTTGGGCAACTCCTACTCCACGGGCTGCATCCCGACTCCTGTCCCACACTAAGCTCTCCCGCCTCGATCAGCTCAGCTGCTTCCAGCAGTTCCAATTCTTCCTCCTGGTCGAACGTATCCATCTGCGTAGCACAAGGCCTAATATTTCTCATCAATTCCTGCTCGTCCACAAACCCATCACCATCTTCACCAACTTGACTACCGTTACTCCTCGCTCGAGCCCTCGCCACACGAACCATCCTCGGTGTCGAGTTAAGAGTAGTTGCAGTAGCTCCACTCCGACTGTTTTTCAAGTACCACTGGGCTTCCCTTTCCGTACCCATACTAGGAGGCCCCTTCGACATTTCCAATTTTTTTCTTTTCCCAGGAGACCACGTAATCTCCTCATCTCGCGCCGATGAGCATCTCTTCGCGGGAGTAAGTCGCCGCCCTGATGACGATGACGACGACCCTCTCGACGCCCGAGCGGTTGACATTTAAACGTGTGAACTTCATAGTTGGTATCAGGAACCCATCTAGCTTTCAGAATAACGCCCCCTAGGGTTTAATAACAATGAGGAAAATGTTCCTAATGTGATGATGACATTTACATGGGGGGAACTGATTGGAGAATGTGTTCCTAGCCATACGTGGAAAATTCAAAATGAGTTCCCCCCGGGGACATTATAGGTTCCTGAATGATTTCCTGGTTAGCATATGAAAATACGCACATGCGTTGGTGGCAATTCGGATGAAATTGTGGTTGGTTTCCACAGTGCGAAGCAAACAGTAATGCATATCTACATTTTCGAGATGGCTTTTTCCAATTCGAGAGTAATACGAATATAGACTACGAAACGCTTCTAAAACGTTGGTGTCAATCGATTCACATTGTTATCATGTTGATATTACTCAAAGTTTACTTTCGAATTCTCGAAAATTGAAAGTGTTGAAAATATTACTTTGCGTAATAACGGTTTGGTTACTGTTCACACTGTGTACACTCCTACTCTAGTTTATATGTGAACTCCCATGATCAGTTTTGGAGACTCCTGAGCTCAGTAGCTGAGGAAAGCGAACATATATTCCAATACTCCAACCCTGTTCACAGTGATGCGGCCTTCTGCCGACTACCACCACAATGGGGGAACTCGGGCAGATTTTCGGACGTCTCCTCTCTGTGCGCCGGAAACTGCACCATCGGATCACTCGGCAATGGGATCGCTCTCTCATTGTCCGCCCTCATATGCCACGTTCACACTTGAGAGATATTCGAAGTCAGTGTTGGAGTATATGGAATATATGTTCCCTTTCCTCAGCTGCATCAAGGAGTCTCCTATTTATTACACGAATTAGAGTAGACGTGTACAGTAACCAATAAGTTCTCATAATTTCCATATTCTCACCAACACATGTAGTTGGCCATGCGCATACTCCCCCAAACTGTTCTAAATAAGCTCCCATCTAGTCCTAACAACACACTGCCTCAGTAGAATCCAAAACTGCAATGAGAACCACAAGCCAACACGACGTCCCCTCAAAGGTGAGTAATTGACCACTGAGAGTAACCAAAGGAGTGGTATGCAACTAGCGAGAAACCTTACTACCATCCGCCAGTGGGGCCCTCCACTTCGCTTGGATCCACACCCTCTTCATCTCCTTCCCCTGTTTCCTATTTATCACACACCTCCTATGAGTGAACAGCTCTACCCTCTGAAAGCCCCCCTGACGTTCCCACAACTCCACCAAAGAATCTTCAGTGAAGAACTTGGCCCGAGTGCCGTCTTGACGAACATAAAAGTCGTCTTCTCCCGGCAACCGCGATGCCGTTGCTGCCCGACCTTTATCCTTAGAGAATCTCAACTGCGCCAAATCGTACTTGCCATAATCGCGGAAAAGGACGATCCCACCGGGCCGGAGGATCTTCCTAACTCCCTCCACAATAGAGCTATAATGGGCTTCCGATATCGCGCTGAGGCAGAATAACAACAGTACGAAATCTGCTGAGCCCAGCAGGTCCTCTGGGGGGAAATGAGTGCTAGTCGCGTCCAAAACTCTCGTGGAAATTCTCCGAGCCACCGAGGGGTCTTCAGCTTCCAACCTCTCATTCAAGAGATCGATCGCTATACTACTACAATCAGTAGCAAGAATAGATATCTTCGGACAGGCCTGGGCGAGCGGGATCACAGCATTACCGACGCCACACCCGACCTCCACCAAGAGCCCAGTGGCCTCGTTGGCGTCGATGAAGGAATCGCTTCTGGCAACTTCGCCGAATTCAGTAACGAGGTAATGGCGATCTTTGAAGAAGTTGGTACGATTGCGCTTGTAGAATAAATCCCAATTTTTCACCGCATCTTTTTCATATTTTTCAGCCCAAAATTCGGAAACTTCAGCGGCTTTTGAGATGAGCTGCTCGGCCTCGGCGATGTCGTCAGAAGTCGGGTTGTATTCCTTAACTGTGGGTAGGGGTGGGAGGGAAGACATAGAACGCGAAGAAACTGAGAGGTATCTTGAGGTTGAGCGTAGAAGATACAAAATAGGTCAGCTTGAGGACTACTCCCACCCTCTCTGTTGAGCTTATCCAAAGTTCCTAGAAGTCTACGAGGACTCCCACTGGCACTACGACTACTCTCACATCCTCTTGCGAATCGACCACTACTCCAATTGCATGCCACAATTGAAGCCTTCACTACTTATCGAGGGGAAAAACACTAGTAACAACACTGATGAAGTTTACACTTCGCCAACCCGTGGAAACAGAAGTGTCCCTTTGAGGATTTTTGATACCCAAACTGTTGAAACCTAACTTAATCGCCTATCTGCTTAATACCAGAAGAGTCACGACGAAACCCGCAAAGGAATTGGCGGAGGTATGGTATGTAGTATTCGCTCTACTACAGTATGAGGGTTACGGAGCCCTCCGATGACCTACGTTGTCGTGAGCACTGCTGGAGTTGTCAGGAATCTCGTGGCTGCAGGACGTAAATTGTGTCAGATTGAGAGGAAACGACGTGCTCATGTTCGGCCTTCCGAAGACTCCAGCAGAATTCCAATACAGGTTCACTCAATGTCAAGAGGAGCCTCGAGTGCTCACCGTGAGCAACTATCTCCTCATTTGAGTGGAAACTAAATTATACACGTTTGACATGGTAGACTATACGAGCCATAGGTGAAACGTTTATCAACTCTAACCAGCCAACAGAAAAAGGGAGGGAGGGCGCTAGTCTAGAGCGCCAGTTGTGGATTGGGTTTTTTTCCGAGTGGAAACTAAATTATACCCGTTCTCGACATGGTCGATTATACGAGCCATAGG